TTAAGATTAAAAAATTATTCAAATGTACATATATATTTAAAATGGATAATAGTAATATTAACAATAATAATCGCACTTATTATTATTATATTTTCCGTGTTTTTATATCGATTATCACGCTTATAATCAATATATATAAAGTTAAGTGAATTAGCCAAAGAATATTATGTTGAGATTCAGATTGAACACCTTGAACTTAAAGATCACGATTTGTTTGAAACATTTAATAAACATCCATCTGACATTATTAAAAATATATTTTTTGGATTTAATTCCAATGAAAATAAATATATTTTTAAAGCTTGAACCTGCAATTAGAACAATGCTCAAATGACCTTGAATCAAGATGATATCCTTATATTTGAAGCTTTACTTAAATATTTTAAAGGTATTATTAATACGCGTCAATTGAATGTAAGTTTTTTTCATGAAACATACTGTTTGCCAAATTAAAGTTCCATTATTATATAAATATTTTATAGGCAAGTTCTATTTCTAGTATTGTAATAGCCGCTATAAATTTAACTTCCAAAGCATTGATATACGATTATAAGAAATGTCTGGGGTAAGAAAGGTTGTTGGAAAATCGCATGTGTTTGACAATTTGGAAACACCAAGAAGCAACTCAACATGCAAGTTTGTGTTTGATTATCGGATAGATGTTGAAGTGTATTACTTTGGGGCTCAACCATTTCAATCATTCTCTTGTTCCTCGTTACGCAAGGTTAACCTGACGACGCAATTAAATTGGGGATAGCGCGGCCCTCAAGTTTCATCGTTGCCATGGAGACCGTTGGAGCCAGTGCTAGCGTCTGGCCGTTTGGCTGACAAAAATAGCCAAAAATGGACAAATAATTATTTTGGCCATTGGCTAACCACCACTAGTGAATCACTGTATCCAAGTCAATGGGATGACTCTTTAAAACAAAAAAATTGTTTGGCCACGGCAATTCCGACAGTGGCTAAATTCTCCCTATTGTCCAGAGCCTTCCAACTTGTTGATTTCCTCGCCCGTGAAAAAAAATTTCATAGTTATGAGAGTGCGATTGCATGTTTATAATAGGAAAGTGATCAATATCAGGTTTATTTTTTTATTTTTTGGGGGATTTTTACAGCTTGCATGTAATCGAGAAACATGCACAACATACACACAACATTTAGAGCGCATATAATACACAATACACGTACACACGCGCACAAAAAAAAGGGAGTCAAGTAGAGACTCGGTCACTAAAAATCTTTCCACTGCCACTTGGGTGATAAGGAAATGAATGGACCAATGAAATCACCATGGTTTATTCAGTACACACTTGTGATTGACCGTTCATTTTAAGGGAAACGGAAATTACCACTCTGCCAGTTTTTTTCATAGAGTATTATGTGACTTGGTTCTTTAAAGGAAAGGTTTGTTTCTACATGGTCTTAGTATTGCAATAACGGCGACGTATTATTCATGCACAAGGGAAGGATTAAAATTGTTTTCCTTCTAGGTTCATTTTTCATTGGTAGAAATTTTTTTGCGGTGGAGGAAACAATTCACATTAAACGACTTGTGGATTTTAATCACCATTTTACTAACACCAAGGAAAATTTTGAGTCCAGTTCAGTCTTTTATCAAATAGGTGCTTGTATCCTCTTATAGATTTTTATCACCAGTGAGTTGTTTGATTTTGATTTTGATTTTGATTTTGATTTTGATTTTTCTTTGCTCTATTTTATTGATTATTTTATCAATTTTTTGGTTTATGTTATAGAGTTAGTTTTTGTAAATTTTATAGTGAAGAACAATTAACAACCCATAAAAAATTTCACAAAAAATATTATAAATATTTATTGATTATGTCTATTTGTTTTAAACAAAAATAAAATTCTGCTTAACAATGATTATTGAATGATTTGTTTTTTACCTGAATGAGTGAGTGAATTGGTGATGTTATTGTAATTTTTCAAACACAAGGCAGGATTATGGGCATTTATTTGCATTGGTTTGATACCAATCAAACAAAACAAATATTATCAAGTATGTTTGAGTGTAGAAGTTTGATTTCATCAGGATAAGGGGGAGGTGGTGAGGTGATGCGACATATGGTTGACGCTCTTCATCAATATCCATGTCTCCAGTAGTAGGTTATATTGATCAACATACACAAAATATAAATTAAAGCCCAAGGAAAATAAATTCATACAAAATTAGGAATAGTAAAAATTGATTATTTGTCTATTTAAAAGACAATTAGACTAGTTAATCTATTTGACCGTTGAACAACTTTACTTAGCACGCAAGGTATATTTATTTATTGGTTTTTTTTGAAGGTTACGTAGCGTAAAAACAACAAAAACGTGTCGCGTTTAGGCAGCACATAATATTGATTATTGTCGTGTTTTTAAAGACAAAAGCTAAAAATACAAAAATGCGCTTTATTTCAACAAATTTTTGAATTCCAATTGGTTACCTACTATCTGTGTCTGATATATACACAGGCAAGTTAATTCCTACCCGACAGTAGAGTAACTTTTACATAGTATGCGAGGCTTGATTTTTGGATTTTTTAAATATGAGATGATTAAACATTTTTAGCAACGTTTGCATGCTAACTAAACCATTATCGTCATCTTTAAACTTTACTGAACAACGATCACTATTCAAATAAAAGTGCAGGTGCTTTGAATTTATTATCGCATGAGATGACATATAAACAATTCGATGCCTAGCTAGTTGCTATGAAATGCCAATTATTGCTGAAATACACGCGTCCCGCCCTAACACATTATCTATAAAAGTACAAAATAAAATAAATTGTTACTTGTGTGCTTGCTTCAGTATTTATATAGACCAAATCGAGCGATTTAAAAATCTAAAGCATATCATGATGCTAAAAAAAAACAGTCATATAGTTAAAATTCAAACTTGATTTTCCAAAAAAGTTGATTCCAAGAGAATTGGACCAAAACGAATAATAGCCTCGACTATATAAACAGAGGCTCAAAGCAATCATTATGTAAAGAAATAAAATAATTATCTAATATTTCATAGTTTCTTTATGGCTCTATTGTGCGTGAAAATGAAATCTATATGAATTTGCAATTCACATATGTGAAATTAAATTAATCGACCAAAAGGAATTCCACATCCAAACATCTTTCGTGTTTATTAAATTCAATTGCATTGCATACAACAATTCTAGATGTTCAAAAAGTCAATCAATTTCTTGAACCGGATCCAAATATTAAAGTAAATATTGTTTCCAATATTAGGTTTATAAAATAATAAAAAATTGCAATTAAATAAACAAATGTATACGTCTATAAATGTTTAATTGAAAATCTAACTAATTTCTGTACTAATACTAAATACTATTCATCATCATCATCGTTGTTGTTATTATTATTATATTATAAAAACATTTGATAATAATATCGATATGTACGCATGTAAACACCATTAGTATAACTTTTGCTTGTAGTCACAATAAATTAAAAGACGTTGAGAGATCTCAATTATTTCGTGGAGATCTTTCACCATCTTGTTGAGCTCATGAACACTAATTAACTTAATATTGTTATTGTTGTTGTAATTGTGGCTATTGATATTTATTAAATTCATACTTTCAACAATACCTTCAACATTATCATCGTCATCATTATTTTTTCGATTTGTACCAGAAAAATAGACCAGAGATTCAGATATGCGCTCTATTTCGCACCTTAACCGTCTGGAAATAATGTTTATTCCGATTTCTCTCCATTGCTGGCATGTAGCCATAACGGTCTTTACTATCTCCAACAAGTCAAGATACTCGAAAATAACTCCAAGTATCTCTAATGGTAAAATTTGGTTTTGATTTAACATCGTCAACGATTCTTCTTTTTGTTCTTCTTCAATTGGTGCTTTTGATACTTCTAGTTCTTTTGATTGATTTAATAACTATTGATTTTTTTAATATTTTAAGATGAAATTAATTTAATTTGAAAAATCAAAATTAAAAAAAAAAAAGGGAAAAAAAATTTACATTTATTTATCACTTTTTTATCATCGTCTCCCATTCCTACTTCATCAGGGGAACCTTCTAATATAGCATTTAACATATGAATAGATGTTTTGTATGCCTTTTCACATCCTAACAAATCTTCATTAATCAATTCATTGACAGCTGCATGACGACTCTATTCAAAAAAATCATTTAGTATTTTTTTTATAATAATCTATAACAATAATAGTAATAAAAATATTAATTTTAAATCTTGATTTACCATTTCTAATGCTTTATCATAAAGCAACTTCTCTACAACAACCTCGGTCGTCATTTCTCCATTTGCGAGGAATCTAGATTCTGCATACTCAGCCTTTTCCAAACATTCATTGAATCTTGCACGAACCCATTGCACAGCTAAAATTATAATTACATATATATATATTCATAAAATTATTTTTGAAATCTAATTATTAAATATTTATAAATAAACATTAAAAAGATAATAATAATACCGGTATTTAATTTAGGATGTGCATTTTTTTTAAATAAATCTTCTTTTTCATTTGATTTTGATAAATAATCTTTTGCACAAACAATTGCTGCTTGTAATATTGAAAGTGCTTTAACATATAGAACAAATGCTTCTTCAGCCAAAGTAATAGCAGCTTGAGGCGTGGGTGGTGAATTATATGCTAATTCATTGCTGCTAGTAGGTGGTGGTGGTAAGAGTTGATTAATTTTTGAATCAGCAAATTGATGAACAAAATGTGCCTTTTGAGCATACTCCTCTATTGCTTTAATTACTGCTTCCTAATAAAAAATAATTAAAGATAATTGATGAAGATAGGTTATCATTTAAGAAGCATAATAATAATTAATAGTTTTATTTATTTTTCCTTACTTCCTCGGGATCAAGTATAACGTCATTTGTAAGTAAAGCAGAATTGCCTTTTTGTTTTGAATATTTATCACTCCAAGATGGCGGTGAATTACCAGTACCAAATAAACGAACTGATGCAACATTTAAAGCTCTAGCAAGAGCCGAAGATGCACTACTACCTATACTTCCAACAGGGCTACTTTTGTCTTGACTGGATTGTGGTATAGCAAAAGGTGGTGTTGTCGAATAAAAGAAAGAATTTTGATTTGGTGAAGTCTTATATGGAAAATCAAGGGGTTTTGAGGGCAAGGCATCTGAAAACGCAAAGGCTGTACCTTTATGAAAAGGTCGCTGTGAACTTCCATTCGATTTGGGTATTACAGCAAGATCTAAAAAATAAAAATTTTTTTTTTCATTAGCTTAAACAAACATATTATAATATTAATGTAATACTATCACTATATTAATTACTATTTAGTTACAAGCATACCATCAGCCAATTTATTAACCTCGACTGCACGTTTCTCAATCAAAACATATTCCCTCGCAAATTGAACATCATCTTCGGCACTATTTGATCTATTTGAATGTTCAAAGTTTTCAGCATCAGTGTTTTGCCTTTTTACAAGTTCATCCTGTGGGTAAGGTGTTTGCACTAATAATGAAGGTGATGGAGATCGATTATCATAGGAAGGCTGAACTTCGTTGTTGACTTGAAGAAATTCATTATTATTGTTGTTGTTGTCCTTTGATCGTTCAAACATTTTATCTATGTTTGGGGATTTAGGAGACCTTTTTATATTAAAAAAACAATATATGGAAGTTTAATTAATGATGATAATGATAATGATTTAGAAATTAATTATAACAACTTGAAAATTTTTATTTTTACCTTTGTAAAATTTGTTGATATTTAGCATTATTACTGTTATCTTTAAACGAGTTCTTTTGTGATTGGTTTGATGCGTAGTAATTGTTTGTTGATGGCGTATTTGTGATCCTATTAGGTTTCAAATTATCGCCTGGTTTCTCTTTTGGATCAAATGAATTTGTCAATGGTTGAGGTATTAAATCACCTACAACACAAGGGTGCATAAAAAATTCTTCAAAAGAAATACGTTCTACAGGATTACGTTTCAACAAATGTCTTATTAAATCTTTAAGTTCTTCACTAATTAGAGAAGTCGAATTAGTAGGTGAGGTGGCAGGCAAATTGTCATCGTGAGTATTTGCTGAATGGATCGCCACTCCAGGATTTTTACTAGGAAACTTTATTTTATCGCCACCTTTTTCGATTCTTTTCAATAACTCAACATGATTTTGAGCTCTAAACGGCGGTTTGCCAACACTTATTTCATAAATTACAGCTCCTACACTCCACAAATCTGCTTTTGCGTCATATTTTTCATATCTTAATATTTCTGGTGCCATATAAAGTGGTGAGCCACATAATGTCTCTGCTAAAGATGAAGACGGCAATGAACGCGCAAATCCAAAATCTGCTATCTTTAAAATTGGTAAATCCGGTGACCCGACCACAGATCCGTAATTTTTCTGTTTAGGTTCTACCAATAAAAGATTCTACTCAAAGCAAAAAGAAAAAAGAAATTCATTTTAATAAGTCTAAACTTATATTATTAAATAATAATTATATATATACATACCTGAGGTTTTATATCACGATGTATTAAATTTTGTGATCGTAAGAATTCCAATGCATTCGCTAAAAGAAAATTATAATACTTTGTTTTTAAAAAATGATTAAAGTTTTTTTTTACAACATTAAATTATACATTTTTTTAACTTAAAAGAGAATTAATTAATTATTAATTTATATTCTCTTTGTACCTAATTGTTTTAAAAAATGACGGACAACGTATTCACTTAGCCCAACAGATGGACCCTTTGATGATGAGTGGTTATTTGCTCCTCTTTGCTTTATATATTGCGATAAATCACCCATAGTACAATATTCCATAATTAAATGTATGTGACTCTCAGATTTCTAATTTATGAAAATAAATAACTTGAGATATATATATATTTATAACTTTTATTTATATAAAAAAATTAAATGACTTACTTCACAATCAACTAATTGAACTATGTGATCATGTTGAATTCGTTTGAGAATTTTTATTTCTGATTCTAAGTTTTCAAGTAATTTTTTTGTCAATTTTGATCTTGATACAGATTTAATTGCTACATTTTCTTTCGTTTTCTGTGTATATTAAAAAAAATGTAAATAAAAGGAAAAATTTGTAACTAAGGTGACACGTGAAACTTTATAAAGATATATATTTATATATAAATAAAAGAAAAAGTAATTTACTAAAGTATATTATATGAAT